AGTATGGAACTGAATAAATAGTAATAGTACCTGCAGTCACATTAGGCCCATCACGATCTTGTCGAAGTCTAGCAGTGTAAACCAATGCAGGTTGTCTGGCCTCAGATCTGACTTGACCCCTACTCTGAGATGCTCGGCCCCTATTAACTGATCCAGGTGCTCTCTCCTGAGTACGACCACCCGCAACAGTCTGAACAGTACTCTGAGTACGAGCGGGAGTACGAGTTGGTGTCTGAACTGTAGAAACTGACACTGTGCAATCCCTTATAATATGGTCACTAGAACCACATCTAAAACATGTGCCAAATTTTCTTCTGCATTCCCCAAGATGATGTTTCCCACAGTAATCACATGTCTACAAAGGTTGCAACCCAGAAGATCCACCATGTCTATTAGACTGAAAAGTTGAAGCACCAGATGCAACAGGTCTTACACTCGCACCGCCACTCTGAAAGGAATCACCCCTGCCTCTCTTGCTAGGATGTGCAGAAGAATTAACATAACCAGAAGGCCTCCTGAATCGATTCTGGGCTCGATCAGTATCTCTCTTGTGCTCCATACCCAATAGTTCTATTTCTTCCGTAGTCTTGGCTATCTCAACCAAAGCGTCAAAATTCCTCTCCCGATGGGTAGCGACTCGACTCCTGATCTCATACATGAGTCTATTCTCGAACCTCAAGCATCGATCTGTCTCAGTGTTAACAAGTCCAGGGGCATAGCGACTTAATCGGATGAACTCAACCTCGTAGTCCATGACAGACATATTACCCTGCTCCAGATTCTGAAACTCCTGGCGTCGTTCCTGCAGATATCTCTCTCCGATGTAGCGACTCCGGAAACGTTCTTTGAAAAGATCCCAGGTTAACTGGTTCCTTGGAATACTACCAGAAATGGATTGCCACCATCTGAAGCTTTCTTTCTTCAACATAGTTAGGGCCCCCTTCAACTTCTGCTCAGGTCTGAGGTTCATCTCATCCATAATCCTCTCTGTGTCCTCCAGCCAATACTCAGCGTCTGTCGGAGGTCCACCAGTAATACCCTCGAATGGAATTACATCAGCAGCGACCAAAGAGTTTGAAATCTCCACTGCAGTCATGTTACTAGGGGCTCTAGCAGCTCTCTGAAACATGCAGAAGATAGCTCTATTAATGGCGTCTTCATTCATCTCAGAATCCTCATCTTCAGTGACGGGAGGGTCTCCTAAAGGAGTAAACTGATCATCATGAGAAAGAGTCGGATCTACTTGCGGAACAGGAGGATCACGTGGTGACATCGGATCGTCTATCGTAACAGAAGGTCGAGTGACTCGCCCTCTACCACGTCCACGTCCTGTCCTACGACCTCTAGCAGCATTCATCGTTGGATCTATAAGGCTCTACAGAAAGAATTTGAAACATGTGTCAGATTAGCATCACGGATCTCGAGAAAACTTTAAATCATAACATAAGCTGACATTTTTTTTTCTTAAAAATCCAAAATTTAGGACCCATATACAGTCCGAGTGTTTAAAACCGAAAGCTCTAATACCACCAAATGTAACCCCCTAGACCCGGTCTGTGAGTTAGACTCAAACCTAAGTGGTCACATATCCCATTCAGAGGTTTTTTTTTTAATATCTTACAATACATTATATTAATAATACAGATATGTCCAAAATTATAGCAAATACATGTCACCAAACATAACTGAAAAACATATAGAAATATATGTTCGTACAAAATAAGTAGTTGATTTCCCCTGATGCCAAATCTGCTAGCTTACTGTCTGCTACTATCTGAAAAAGGGTAAAAACTACAGAATGAGCTAAAAAGCTCAGTGTGCTCCATACAGTATATAAGAAAAATATACAGATAAAATCTTTCAATGAAATCAGTTTATGCAACATGTTTTTATTTTTTTTTTAAACATGAACACTACCCCATCCGTTCACATCATAGTTGTGTAGGTTCCCCAGAACCATACACCCAACCGCACATGCCATTTAGACCCTGAGCACAAAGCCGAGAAGTCTGTAGATAATCTTCCTTCAACAATACCCCCCAAATGACAATGAATGTATTCAATTGAAAACAATGATTAATCACTTAAAACATAACAAATATTTCATACTTAGAAACCATATGCAGAAATACGGAAATCAGAATTCAAATCAATAATTCAGATATCAGATAAGCAGATCTCAGAAATCGGTATGAAATACCCTAATTCAGAAATTATATCAGAATATACAACAAATCAAATATCAAATACTCGGTATTCAGATAAATTATTTAAATCAGTAATATAATACTATTAGGAAACACACCTGCAACAGTCTGGGAAATCAGATAGGGAAGCCTATTACTGGGTCTGTCGATCACGTTCTGCTGCAGCGCTAGATCCTACGAATTGGAAAAATCTATATTGGAATCCTAATATAAATAATCTAAATATTATTTAAATAATATACGGAAACCTACGGGTAATTCTCGTAGTACGCGGTTCAGGCTGATCTAACGAACGGATAACACCGGACCTAATTGATCCTTGCTCAGGTGAAACACGAGTACCTTCATAAAATATTTTTATTGAATAAATCCTTGACCAAATCTCATTTAAATAATCAAAATATTAAAATATTAAGCATTTTGGGTTTACAAGCTCGATTCGGGAATTTCGGGTCAGAATTTGGCAAAACGGACTTCGGAATCAAATTCAGGACGTCGAAAAACATAAAGTATGACCTTCCGAAATTTCGAATTCTTGGTCAAAAATAAAGTCAACGGGTTTGACTGACGATTTGGAGACTTTCGGGTTTGAATTTAGTGAAACGGACCCCAAAAACAGATTCGGGACGTCGAAAACTATCAGGATAGGTATTTTTGGTCGAAACAAAGGTCGTTTAATAGCCGGTCAAAGCCGGTCAAAGTTTTGGTCAAAGGAGGTCAACAAACTATCAAACATTTTACACAAATAGCACCCTTTTTAAAATAATTACCATTATAGCGCCTTTTTCGAATTAATTCCCAAAATAGCACCAAAACTGAATTGATTCCCAGAATAGCACCGGTCAACGGGTCGGGTCGGGTCGGGTCAACGGTCAAGTCGGGTCAACGGTCGGGTCGTGACCGGTCAAACCGGTTCAAAACCGGTTAAACCGGTCAAAACCGATTTCCAGCGTTTACTCGCCTGCGGCGGCACGTGTGGCGCGTGCGACGTCTTCCGGGGCTCTAAAAATCACGGAAAAATTTCTAAAAATTATTTTGAGCGATTTCGAGATACTTACAAAGATCGGTTCAAATTTTTGAACGGCAGAGAGCTCGATTTCGACTCGGCCGAATCTTTGACTGATCCACCTTCCCACGCGCCGCCGTCAACGGAGATCGAGGGTGACACCGGCGGACTCGGAACGGCACAAGGAACACGATGGTGCGGGAGGTGTCGTAAACGGAATAGCGATCGACGATGAATTTAGGATTTTCTAGGCGATTGAGCTAAAAAAAACGTCGATGCTTTGACTTGAAATTTACGGTGTTTGGCAGCGTTTCGCTTCAATTAAATTGAGGGGATTGTTCTTGACTCGATAACGAACACGATGGTACTTTCAAAACGATGATCGGAATTCGGACGGTGTCGGAATCGTCGTCGGAAGTTGAGGTAAGGAAATGGAAATTTAGGAGGAATTGGGTTCTGATTTTCAGAACCCAATTCACGCATATATCATATATATAAACCAAATACCTAACTTTTTTGGGTAAATTCAGGGCTTGATCCCTAAATTTTCTTTAACTCTAAAACAAGCTACAAGTTTTAAAATCTTTCAATTTAGTCCCTAAAAATTACCAATTTTCACAATTAAATCTTCAATTCCATTTAACTATTATTTTGATATTATCGGGTTGTTACAATACGTGTCTTCGACACGTCCGCGCGGATACTATCTTTTTAGAGAAAATTCTTAAGAAACAAATGCAATACCACCAGTCGCGTTGCGATTTTGCACTATTGCAACGCGAAATGGAAAATCGCAATGCGATTTTGGACTATCGTAACGCGAAATGGAAAATCGCAATGCGATTTTGGACTATCGCAACACGAAATGGAAAATCGCAATGCGATTTTGGACTATCGCAACGTGAAATGGAAAATCGCAATGCGATTTTGGACTATCGCAACGCGAATTTGGAAACTGAGTTGCGAATTTAAGATCGCGGTGCGATATCGCAATGCGAATTTAGACTATCGCAACGCGAAATGAAAAATCGCAACTCGAATTTGGAAACTGAGTTGTGAAGTTGGAGTTTTAAGATCACGTTGCGATTTTGTTGGTCATTTAGGCAAATCCAAAAAAAGTTGGTTAAATCGTATATTATAAGACATTTTCAGTCACTGAGGTTATTTTCTCTTTATATTAATGAAATTAGGACTAAATTAAATAAAAATAAAAGTTTACATTTTAAACTAAATATTAAATTCTAAATTCTAAAAGGTGAGAGGGATGTTAAATTAATATATACTTTGAAATTATATTTTAAAATTATTTAAAAAAAAATCATCTCTCCACTCTTCAGTCTCTCAACTCCCCTTCCCCACCCAAACCCTCTCCTACTCCCACGCATATTAATAACCCTACCCCTCCCACGGCAAACTCTCTCCGGTCTCTCAACTCTCCCTCCCACGACAAAGCTCTCTCCAGTCTCACGGTAAAGCTCTCTCCAATCTCAAGGTAAAACTCTCTGCAAAGCTCTCTCTAGTCTCTCAACTCCCCCTCTCCCCAAACTTTCACCTTTTAAAAATAAAAAACTTTTGATTCAACTTTTTTTCTTCATATTAACGGTAATAACGTCCCGTTATCGGTACTATTCACCGTTACCCGTTAGATTGCGGACGCATCGATCGATTTTGACGTGAATTCGTTACCCACCGTTATTTTTTCGAATTTCGGTTTCGAGCGATGACACTACCGTGAAATAACGGACGCTATTATATTATCGTTCCGTTATTTTAAACCCTGATCCGACTTAAAGTAGTCGGTAACAAACAGCCAGATGCTAGATCTGATGAGACACCAATTTAAATTATATGTAAAGTAAATAGTCAAATGCAACAATGATTAAATTACCCCAACCATTTGAGGCTTATAAAAAAACAATTAATTTGAGGCATTTGAAGCACACTGGTCAGAATTCTAGAACGCACCTTCTCTTTTTACCACTCCAATGGGGTAAGGTTCAGTCTTGGGAATACTGATCAGGCCTCGATCAATTTTAGTTCTAAGCAACAAAACACTGTTCTTGAAGCACTCATCTCTTTTTTTTTTCTTTTCCTTCTTTAATGAAAGTTATCTACCAGGGTTGTAAAAAGCGATAAACGCAAGGCGACCGCAATTTAAATCCCCAACCAAACATAAAAACACAGCACCCACACACACAAACTTTCTGAAAGCAGTGTCATTGTAGCAATTTATATAGCGAGCAAAACTTAAACATCAAACACTTACCAGAATAGTGACGAGGTAACCGGATGCAACGGCAATCAGGTTCTCGTCGGACCAGGCGATGGAGTTAGGGTACGATGGTGAATCCACCAGTGTTGTCGCCTGGAAACGCGAAGCCATTGATGTGCTCTGTTAACGGAACAAAAGAGACATTTTTATTTTATTTCGTAGGAAAAAAGTTGAAGACTTGAAACAAGAAACAAGTTTTGTTTTTGATTAGCCGAGGAGAAAACGAAAATTGTTGTTTTGGAGGGAACCGACTTAGAAAGTTTGGGTTTTTATAAAAAGTGGGTGTGAAAACCCTAGTTCGAGTCCTGTTGTCGGCGTTAGAAGAGATAAAAAGAAACTGAGTTTTTTGAAATGAGCAAATAATAAGAATTAGAATACGTTAAATACCAAAAAAAAAAAAACATAGTTAAGCATTAACTATTTTTCTTACTATGTTCAGATTTATTGTATTCAATATTAAAAATATATCTAATACCTTCATATTTAATAAATGATTAAGATATTTTGAGTGATAATATACATTAAAATTAGGGTTAAGACAAATCACCTGAACTTGGAAGTTTTGGTCAAGTTGTCCCTATATTTTTTTCCTATCAAATTAGCGTCTAATTTAGTAAGTTAAAACAAATTGATCTCTGAACTCAACAATTTTGATTAAATTATCTTATGAACTTTGAAAACGTAACATAAAATGGTTGTTAAGATTAGCATGTTGAATTTTAAAAATGAGATTTAAAACCTTCATCTTTGATGATTTAACCACCTTCATGGTGCACATCAATAAAATATTAGAAAATAATATTATTAATCTTAAGTATCATTTTCTGTCATATTTACAAAGTTGAGAGGAAATTTGACTAAATCTGCTATGATGAGAAAAAAGTTTAAGAATAACTAAAATTTATAAGTGATTTGGATGTTATGTCTACTTTTGAAATAGATTATTACTCAAATTATCTTAATAATTTATTAAATATCTTTGATGACAATGCATATACACCCTATAGATGTAACTGCTCAATCTCAGTATCATTAGGAATACCAACATTCCCTTAAACCACTGAATCCACTTGATAGATTCTCGAATTTGGCATTTAAGTGTCAATGATATAGGTTAAATATGCCTTACATTCTTTCTTGACCAATTTTAGGGCAGACATTGCACATATGACATTGAACAAATAGTCAAATCTTTCTTATATCACCTGGGTTTCTTGGTTATCAAAACTATTAAGAATGGCTTGTTACAGCTAGTGTTGCTCATTTAGTGTCTCAGCCACCAAATAACATGTATTTTGGGTTGTCTGGTTGCACCTGCATTCATAGACTACCTGAAAACTTTTAGACCCTGTAACAAAATCTAGGGTACCCTACAACCTGCATAACTCAGCAAATACGCAGGCAGAAAAAGGCAGGTTCAAATCCAATTTATCAAAAGAGTGAAAATTGAGCAAATTAAGATATATGTAATATTATATAGATTGCATGGTAATGATACAATGTCTTCCTCAGAATCATAAACCTAATCTTAAACCTTGTACTATGTCTCTCTACATGCCTTGATTGATCTTCATCTCTAGTGTTGCCATGAAAATCTACAGATGATTGATATCTTCCTGTCTCACAAAATGAGACAACTTATTCCATGAAAGAGTGCTAATTGGCAGATTCGACTACCAATGGCTCTAATTTCTCAGCTTTACCATCTCCTTTAGGTATAATAAGTCCATATCCTCCCTCTTTCCTTTTGTATAAAATATTAATCTCACCTGAGCCAAGTACATAACAGAAAACTTTTGATTAGCTCATAAAACCAATCTTGAGGAAATGAGCAGGGTATGGAAAAAATCATACCGGTTTCTTCATTGCGGAAAGCATAGAAGTCATGATCAACATTTTCAAGCTGCTCAACTGCTTCAGAGACTGTCAGTGGTGACATTTCAAAGTATTTTGTACGAACAATCTGAAACATTCGCAACGTAGTTGCATTAATGGAGGAAAAAGAAAACAACGGCCAGCATCAATTGACAAAGAACTTTGAGAACAGGATCAATTTGTTTGATCACATTTCTCGATGCAAATTTCTAATGATAATCATCATACATGTTACTCCGGACCTTCTTGAATACAAATTGCGAGACCGATCAGGACACAAAACTCTTCAGTGACAGTTCATCAACTCAAAAGAAAAAAATTTAAAAGCCCCTTGCTATCATATCATGCTGCCAAGTATAGAAGTGGAAAACACAAATATCTGCAATAAAACTAATACCATAAACAAAACAGTAGATCAAAATTTGATGAAATAAACCTCATCTATAAAGCTATCATCCTCCTGCTCAGGAACTGCCTCGACATCATCATCTACTGCTACTTGCTCAGTATCCGCCTCAACATCGTCATCTACTACTACTGCCACTGGCTCTCTGACTTTTGATCTATTGAAGCCTTTCATGTGGCGGCCATGGTCTGATTCTTTCTCCTTAATCTTCCTCAACTTTCTTTGTAGAATCGAGGACACCAAATCTATACTCCCATATACCGTCTCAGCATCTTCTTCTGCTCGAACCACTCCATGCTTCTTTGTAAACAAAGTTACCTTCAAACAAAAACCCATCAGAGCAAGAAGTAGGATAAGTGTCTAAAATTCTAAAAGCAAACTTGGCCACAAGTAACAAATATCTCAATTTTGGAAAAGTACCTCACATCTTCGTATCCTGGGACCTTTCCCAAATTCTCCACCTCGAACAGACAACCTAACATCGACTTCTCTCACAAGATGACTATGCTTCTGAACTGCCTTACCAACCTTCTCCTCCACATGCTGCTTAACTGTATCTGTTAACTGTATCCCATGAAAAGAAGTTCATTACAGCAAACAAGACCACCTCTAAACTTTCCCACCATTTTCATAGCAATTAGAGGATAACTGTAACGTGCAGGAATGGACCGAGAGGGGCGACTTGAGGCCTACAATTTTAAATTTTCATATATTTTAGTTATTTTCTTTATATTTTCTATTGTTGATCTAATTTTGCCCCAAAATTTTATAATTCGCCTCTGTAATAAAATCTTGCATGTCTTTTATAATAAAGACATTCAGATCAACGATAGATAGTATCACAACCAAAAACAATTACAAAATCACCAAATTCAAAGGCAGATGGTACCATAAGCAAAAGAAAATATATGCCAAACAAAGGGTATCACAAGCAAAATCACAACTTGGTCTTTCACATGCTTCAAGTAAAATGTGAAAAAGATGCATTATCAGTAAAACAATAAAGGGTTACAAAAAGTACGAGAAATCTCTCCATTGAGTAAAGAAAAGAATTAACCTATATCTTATTCTTGTAAATAAAGTAGATAATAAGAGACAAATTACCTCCAGATTTCTGCCCTGTATGATCAGTTTGACTGAAGAAAGTGAACCGTCCCATGACATTCGAACTGTTAGTGAACTGATGCTCCTTTTGCTTGGTTCCATTTCAATGTACTTGAAACTGTTCCCAATTGGGTTCAAGAAACTGGACTTGAAAGAAGGGATTCGCGGCTTTGTGAGAGTAAAGAGAGAAACTGATGATGAAGCTGAAGCTGAAGAAGAAGGACATGGAAATGATGAGTCCGAGACTGAGATTGGGTGGTGAAAGCTGGGTTGGGATGAAGCTAACAGAGTGGTCGCCATTTTTGTCAAGAACAGACAGGGTTTTGGATGGAAAGGCAATTTGGGAAGAAAATGCAGAAAAGTGGAGCGGAAAATAAATGAATGACTTGTGGTCCATGGATAAGAACACGTGACACGGCATTGGCTAGATATTTACACATTATGATTATCAACATAATTCTTATATATATAAAATAGAGTACTACATTTGTAAGGGGAAAGTACATTATTAAACTATGTTAAATTAATATTTTCAGTTATTAAAATTTTAAAATTATTATTAAATTTATCAAATGGTTATGAAATAATTATTTTATATTATAAATTTTAATAAATTTAAAGAATATCTTATAACAAATTAATAAAATTTAATATTATTATATACTAATTTAATAATAATTTTATAAATTTAATGATATATTTAATTTTCAAGATTATAATAATTAAAAGATTACTTGAATATATTTGAATATTTATTTATTTATTAAAATATAAAAATTTGAATAACAATGTCACATTTTACCGATAATAAGATTAAATTTTGTTTTTAAATAATCAATAATTAATTGGTCTAGTGAGATGAGATATTAGGTCCTTTAAACGATGTCAATGGTTTGAATCATGACGTTTGCAAATAGAGCAAATTGGATTGAGAGGGTTACTCTCGTCTCTGTAGTACCAGAATTAGATTAGTCGGTCAATAGATTTGATAATATATTTATACATTATTTATCATGGAATACCCATTTTATCCTTTTGAGATAATTACATAAAACTAGGACAAAGGTGGCGTGGATAATGTAAATGGGACCATTTATTTAATCAGACGTAGTATCTTCTTTTGTCTTTTTAGGTACATCTCTTATCCTTTCCTTTTCCTATTGTTCGGCAGTAAGCCTGCTAATCTTCTTAAATTCTGTGCATGTTGGAAAAAAACTGTAAAAATTATATTTTATAAATTTTATTTAAGAATGATTATAGATGGACCACAAATAAATTATATTTTAGATTTATGAAAAATAAAAATATTTCCTCTTTATTTTTTTTGACCAAAAATATTTTAGAGATATTTATAAGTTAAATTAAAAACTAGGAGAAAACCGTGAGGGGTGACAATAGATACCTGTGCCACCAGCAGCAAGGTTCCGTTTACTAGGCGTTCCACGTCCTCCGCTGCCGCCACCAAATCGATCACCCCCACGGCCACCGCAACTCCTGCCACCACCTCTGAGACTGCTACGACTATCACGGAATTCACCTCTTGGCTTTGCCATCTCCATAGAACGATAATTTATTCAGATCCATCTTCATATGTTTCTATAATTTTCACTGTATAATGAACTGTATGTATTCTCTGAAATGATAATTTATCAGAAAGATTGGAGCAGAATGATTGTAATGTAATAGTTGTTCATGTTTTGCAAAGTGATTGGAGTAAGAAAAAGAAAATGAAGGTTCATAGTTTATTTGTTTCTTTGGTGTAAAAATATACCAGAAATTGTTTCACCATTGATCCTTTGGTCACTGGACATGAAGAAAGTGGCTGCCCTTTATGCACAATCCATCTTTTTGTAAAGGTAAGAGATCAAAGGTTATGTTATTGGCACAAGAAATAGATACAGTAGTTGTTTGATGCACATATTTTTGTAACTAATAGTAATTGATTTCTACAATGAAAATGGTGTAAACACAGACAAAATCCATTCACTATCAGTGGCTCTCAGAAAAAGCAGAAACACTAAAGAGAAAGAGGAACTACTTTCATAAGTGACTACTAGTTATCAATACAGCGGAACACTTTATAGAAAACCATATTTTAAGTTCAGCAATCATTTGGACTGATCTAATAAACCTGTATTCAAAGTAATTATCAATAAGAAATAACATTTCAATTTTCAATAATAAAATGAATAAAAACACTCCACTAAAAAAAAGTCCCAACTTTTTTCCCAAAAGGAACACTTCGTTGCTCTCCAATGGTAGTGAGTGAATGAATAGAAGATTCACAGATTTCAGTTGAAAAATTAAAAGAAAAAAGGGTTCAACTTGCAATCACACACTATTGCTCGTCCCATTCATCATTCTTGTACGATACGAGAGTGTCTACCTTGTGTATCTGCATCAACCATAACACACAGTCACAACAACTTAACAAAGAAAACTCAGTTTTCAATAGCTTTTGACCTGCGCTGCTGGTTTTGCAACATTTTTTACCTTGGTATCAAATGAATGCAACTTCACCATCTGAGGATTTGCAATCAACTTGGGGTCGCTCTCAATCCAAGTGAACGGTACTGCAACATCTTTATCAGTGTACGCCAATACATCAAACACACCTGTAAACAATCACGGAACTAAGATCAAACATTGGGAGGGACAAAGATCTACTAAGTAATTAAATCTTTCGGAAGAGACAAATGAATTATTTGACTAATATTTAAAGAACTAAAATGCTCCCACCACGGATGGACCGAAGGGGACTAAGATCAAACATTGGGAGGGACAAAGATATACCAAGTATTTAAATCTTTTGGAAGAGACGTGTATTATTTGACTAATATTTAAAGTAACAAGGAATTAAACTGCTATTCTACCATGCTCCTCCCACCATAGATGGAGGACCTAAGGGGGCTGGGGGCAGTCACGCCCCCAATTTTAAATAATCATATATTTTAGATAATTTCTTTGTATTTTTTATTGATAATATGTTTTCTTTAAAAAAAATCATAAGTTCATCCCCTCTTAAAACATTAGAAATTCGTCTCATAGCATAAAATCTTGCATCTGTTAGTGTCTTTCACTCAACATATGGCTCTGTCCCCATAAACCACAAACCAAACACAACCCTGTTGAGGAAGAGGATGACTCCGATTTACACTTTGCTCAAAGTAGCTAGCCATTTCCAGCACTTGACATGAAACTTTGTAAAAATTGAATGTATCCATTTCCAACACTTAACTAAATCTGGGTAAACATAGGATTTAATTTTTATGTTTGTCTTACATGGTTCATCAAGGCATGGCAAGTAAGTGATACTTGAAGCAATCTGTCTCATAATTGCCTGTATTTCTCATGATTTCTTTGTCACTCTTTTCCCTTGACACACTGCAAAATATATATATATATATATCAAAGACCATCCAGTTCTCTCAGATTTCAAACAAATACCATACACTGATCAAATGACTTTGTCAAGTAAAAATAAGAAGAAAATAAAGTTTACCTTTTTTGAACAACTTCACTATCTGTTTCAATAACAAAATTCCACCTCTCCAACACCTCATTGGTGGCCTTACTCATGATAACCAATACAACCCTCTGTAGCTTCCCTGCTTCCAGCCATTCTTTTTTCAAAACAATCGATTAATAAAAGGGTTTAAATGTACACATTTTCCAACAGTTTTCTAATAAGCAACCAACAAGTTATCATCCAAAAGGAAAAGGCATATACTGTACCAGAAAGCTGGGCGGTTAAATTGGAAATGAAGGATTTCACCCCTTCATCTTGAGTAAGCAACATCGGAAGTCCATATTTCTTCACTTTCGCGAAGCTTTCCTCGGGGTAAACCCCTCGATTGTAAAGAATGCTGAACAAAAACATAATTGGTTAATTAAACCCTAAAACTCATTAAGAAGAAACCCAAATTATTTATCGATTCATCTTACCTATTCGCGGCATAACCTGGAAAAAAATGAAAGTTAGACAAAATTTGTCAACAATCCCCAAAAAAACCCAACAAGGGTGGATTGAAAAGAAATATATGGTTTGAGAAATCACATATACCAAAAAACTCGCTCACGATTGCTGCTGAGCCGCGAAGAGTGATGATATCTTTGGCAACTGATCTTGACGCCATCCGCTTCCTACAATCAAAATTTCTAGTTTATGGAAGAGTTTGAGGAGTAATATAGTAGAAAATTAGGGATTTGATTAGACGAAGAAGAATATGGAAGATGGATTTTCTAGAAATTTGAGAATGACAATCAAAAGTGGGAAAAAAGGCAGAGCAACGGGCGGCTTGTTTCTTGTTGTCCGTCTTGGAGCCAACGCTATGATTTTAAATTGTGCCTTTAACGGTAAAAAAAAAAGTGGGTCCGCTTTTTTTTTTTCAAAAAATAAGTTTTTCAGTTAACAATAAAAAAACAGTTTAGAATGAGCGAATCGTGAGGCCACGTAGGATAATTATTTTTTTGGGTAAACTACACATTTACTACTTAAAATATCACTTTTGTACCATTTTGGTATTCAAATTATTTTTTTCAAAATCATGCCTACATTTAGTTTAAGCTTGATACCCTGTCGTTAAAAAATTAACATAATTGCTGATGTAACAATTTATTTTTATTTTTTTAATGCTAACATGATATTACCATATGGTGACACATCAACATCACCGTAAATTTTTAACGGGATACCAAAATGAAACTTAAAATACACATTAATTATAATTTTGAAAAAAAATAAAGTTTGAGAACCAAAATGGAACAAAAATAATAATTTAGATACTAAACATGTTAATTTTCCCTTATTTTTTAAGCAGAATGTGTGATCTTGTAATAATGTGTTTATTAAATAAAAAAATAAAAATCAAAGTGAATTTTATTTACCAACATGAAAGTGAATGCATGGAGAAAAACCTGAAATGGCCATTATCAACATTCCTAAAGAACCATGCTATAATAATACGGACAGGAAACTGAAGAGACTGTTACTTATTTTAGTTAGGCGCAATTTCATCTTCAAAATTACCAGCCAGTTACTAGGACATCTGATATCCTTGTCCATTTACTATAATATTCAACAATGTCTAAATCCGAAACATTTGACGAACTATGTCGACCAACAATACAGCATTGTTTCGGCTTTGACCCGTCTTCCAAACCTTAAAATCATTCGGAAAGTAGTCGGCATCCATCCAAGTTTTCAGTGATATGAGGGAGAAAGGGCCCTGTATATCTCCCTGAGGATCTTCATAATGCCACATCAAGCTTCCAACATCATCCTCTGGCTCGACTTTGTTTGAATCCACGTGTTCTTCATCGTCATCGTCGTCACTCAAATCAATCACTCGAGTGGTATCCAATATTTTTAAAAAGTTTTGTTCGACTATGGCACTGCTTTCTTCGGGTACATTCACAACCTGCACGCTCTTGACATCACTGTGGCTTGGTCGGATTAGCTGTTCCTGAACATCATGCAAATGAACTGCAACAAATGGAATAAGTAACTCGGATGATTGAAATGGAAAACATGCAAAACATCGAACCTTCTACCTCAATGGAGCTTTGTCTCGTTTTAAAGCGTAATTCTATATAAGAAATCCCAAATGAAAAAGTGCAAAGGGTGATTTTTGCCATCTTAGCTCTAAACACATCTTTGGTTTATTTAACAGCACATAATAACGAACACCCAAGGTTCATGCCGAATCGTACAGAGCACATTTCCGTAACCCTTCATTTGGGTAATGGAATGAACAAAATGAAGAAAGATTGACCACAAAACATCTAATTTATTGAATGTTGCTATTTCATTCCTTTTCTGCCTACTCTTAATGGTTAACAAAGGGAGAAAAAAAAAAGTTACACATACCCGTATCATCTTTAGTAATTACCGAGGAAGACTGGGTCGCTGAAGAAAAAGTACATATTTAAATCGATAGACAAAGGCATTGAGTACAAATAATTATATTAAAAGAACTTCAAGGGAAAATGAAAAGAAGTTGATTTACCAGAATCTGTTTTTAAAGGTGTCAATATTGACAATTTCTCGATAGAAGCTGAATCAGTCGGAACTTCCAGAGTTTCCCTGGCAGCCGATTTCTGTGAGCTATTGTTCTCATGTTTAACAGCTTGTGGTGCAGTTTCAGGTTCTGTCAATTTCTGTGAGCTACAGTCTTCATGTTTAACATCTTGTGGTGCAGTTTCTGGTTCTACTTCCTCTGCAATAACATTTGGAACCTCACGCAGTAGTCGTGCCTGTTCATCTGGAGTCTGAAGCAGCTGTCTTCTCTCCATGTACTCAAACATCGTATGAGCTAAAGCAAGTTAAGAAGTTGATAAATCTTAATGGAAATGCTTCATGCCCAATACCAACATGGTTACTCAGATATTGGTTTCAGAGGCATGAAGGCAAAAGTAACTCGTTAAACCCGAGATATAAGCAAGCACCATGCATAATTCCGTTACATTAAAATACAAATGATGATTTTAGAAGCAAAAATAAGCCAAACATGTAAGCTCTACATCTTTCCAATGTATATGAAAGAACTTCCACCATGAAACATAGTAGAGCTACCGGTAACCTTTTGAGGTACAAGTAGAGCTACCAGTAATCTTTTGAGGTAAATCAGTAAATCATCAATTGACCATTTCAAACAAACTTAACATAGATTTTACGTTTATGATTACAGCTTTGGCATTTTTTCCCCTTCAAGAACATATGTTGAGAAAACTTGGTTGAGTACCAAAATTATTAACACTCTATTATTGCATTTTCATATATATGTTCATAATTCCTAAAATGCAACTATTGAGCTCTATATTGTCAAAGCATGTGTGTCTAGGTATGTAATCAACAGATATTCAAAAAGGATATTCTCTGCGCCAACCTTTTTCATTGGCACGGTCAATGAGCTTCGGTAACAAGGTAAGTTCTTCTGTAAGCCACTAGGAAAAAATACAGAAAAGCAGAAAAAGAAATTAAGAATTCGACAACTATTCTAACAATCATCATAAGCCTTCCCAAGAAAGAGTGCCATCAAAATATATAATCTAGATCCCTAATACAAGTACATAAAAAACATATGGTAAAAACATTGCTTTAATACAACAACAATTAAGGCAGCAACTTTAAGACTTCCAATAATTTATATATTTTTGTCACCTCTAATTCAACTATTTGATGAAACTCAACGTGTTTGATTACATATCTTTAAAACCCAATGGAAGGTTTTCCATGGAAAAGTGTAAAACAATGCTTACATAGTTAAAACCTACTTTTTATGCATAACAATTGTAACTAAATTCTTAATTATTTAATCGCATAATCTTATGCTTTCTCCTTTTTTCAATGTAAATATCAACTCAAGTTTTAACTTTCAAAAACACTTTTTGGTACAAATTCAGAACACAAATTTCTTACAAAAGAATATAATTTTTCAAATTATCAAACATCGCCTAAGGAACAGGTAAACAATAGCAAAAGAAATTTGGCCATCAATTGACAGTACAAAACACCAATAACATGAGAATAGAAGAATCCATTGTTCTCTAATAGTTAAATTTGGTGTGAATGAGAATACATACATCCTTGGTTATATCTGCATGCAAAATTTGAGCCTTCGCTTCAAGTTCTGCCTATCAACAGTTAAAAATAATTTTAATATTTGTAAAATTAAAAAAGAAAAAAGAAAGGATGATGGGCTTAAAAACTAAAAAAGCAACAAAGCAAAGTTAATGGGTAAAATAGGGACCTTCAGATAGTGAAAAATACATTAAAAATTGATATAAATCATGAAGTAATCACTAAACATGACGAATAGAGAATATTCATTAAATATGCACTTTATAATTCAATATCTTATATTAAGCTATTCATATACAGCCAGCTTAATGGTCAGTGTTATTGATGCAGGAGCATCCAAGATCAATTTAATTATTTTATTTTTAGGATTAGTTTTTTTATTATCTGCTTTTTTCAGTCTTATCTTTTGCATTCTTTTAAATAGTTATGTGATTAGGATAGGACTCCTGGTGAGTGTAGAAAGTAAAAAGTACTGTTAGTGATTGTTTTATTATAAATACTATACTAGGTGGTTATTAGGGAATTATCATTGTTATTATTTTCTTGAATTACTACAAAGAAACTAAGGTTTTTATAACCTTAAGTTTTCTAAAGTTCCGTCTTTCAATTGTTGCTGTTTTTCCTCTTAACCACATTGAATTTGGTAATCAGAGCCACTATAGATCCTAGGGTTTAAAGTAAGGTTTAATTTTAAGCCATTGTTGGATGCATTGGAGCTCAATTCAGAGGAAATCAGTATCAAGAAACAGAATTCGCTGTGCTACGACGTACGGTTGAAGAACTGTCGCGTGCAGTTCATGATTGGCTGCGACAGGAGCAACTGGGAGCCCAGATGAAGACTCCGGAAAGTGCACACAACCAGTTTGACATATCGGAAGGAAGTCTTACTGATGAATCTGATATTGGTGAGATAATTGAAACAAACGAGGGTGGAATTAATGTTGGAGTTGTGGTTTTCTATTAAAACATGTTTATGACGAGTATCCAGAAGAAACTGAAGATGTACATCCAAATAAAGGAGAGTCCTTGGTTGTTCATAATGTGTTGACAAAAACTGAAGGTGAAGAGGAATTTAGCATTGTGGTACATGCATTTAGCCAACGATCGCAGTACTAAAGACAGTGATATGTTCAGTATGACCCATGAGATCTCTAAAGGTGAATTAACGAGGAAGATCAAAGGCAGTGATGATAAGACCAAATCAGGTATTATAATAGATGCTTTCTTGAGTGGCGAGCAGGATCCTAGTCAAAGCCCCGAAAAGAATTGTTACTAATTTCCATATTCAATGTCAATTCCAAGAGGTGGAAGCATTCTTTAAAGAGTGGGCTCACCTTATTGATCATACCTTGTGTGATGTTACTATGGACCGGGACCATATTCTCATGGAGAAGTCTTGGTTGAATGTTATGATTGATCAATTTGATATTGCTATCATTATTCCAAAGACTGATTTGAAGAATGGTCGTCACCACCATAGATTGAGAAGTGTTGATGAATGGAAGACAACTCTTAAGACCCTAGATGACCTTTATGAGTGGTTAGAAACACCAAGTGCATCTTTGCAGATGCAGTCAAAACTTGTGCGACTGTTCTTTTTTTCAACCTAGGGAGAACGATGCAGGAGCATCCAAGAAAAACCAATTTCCTTCCTCCACTAGAATGTAATATTATGGATTATGCAAAATGTACAAGAGCTTACAATAGTTGGCCTCTTCAGCAAGCCTTTTTTTATTCTCTGGTGCAAATCCTCGCATTCTTCCTGCAAAAAGCAAACAAAAACACTAAGACACCCACATGCATCCTGATCTCTATTACAGATTTACAGTATAGACAGCAACCAGCTATCAAAACAAACTAAGATCTTGTCAAACCATATGTGGTCGCTATACCAATCCTAATGCACCACAACTTCAACTATGCTTGTTTGTAACATCCAAGGCAGTAAGGCCCGTATGCTCTGAATATAAAAGAGATTATCCTCAAAGAACCTCAGATAAGAATGAAAAGAAAATAATGAGCTAATCTAAGATCTAATTATCATCAAGACACTGTTTAATTTGTTTTGGACCAGGAAAAAAATCAGTTGACACATCAGTTCACTGACATTACTAGCATCAGCAGTTACCAAAGAAGCCAGCCTATATATTTCTGCTATTATGTATCGCATAGGCATAGTGATACATTATATACACACACATAAGGGAATCGTTACTGCATTGCACTTTTACCTCCACAATATTTAGTGCTTTCTTCAAAAGGGAACTCTCTACAGCATTTTAAATTATGTTTCTTTGAGTAAAAAAGGCTTAGGCAACAATTCATCAAAACATTCAAAAGTCCAGATGAATTGCACCAAAAATAAAAAAGATAATGGAAAAGAAGAAAGTTCAGCTTTACATCGAAATATGCCAAACTTTCTAGCTATTTTGATGAAATAGCAATATTGTTGCATATGCTGGTTACCTGAGAGAAGTCGTCATCTGAAAGCATGGAAATTTTAACATCTTTCACAAAATTCGAAACCTGGAGAACAACATCTGTGTTTACATCATTGTTCACAGAGACCCTCTTCATCCCTAGACAACAAAGAAAGCTGAACCATGGATTAACTATTTAAAATAGACGAGAACATATGGCATAATCAACATAAGATACAATAATAAGATATAACAGAACACAACACTAATGGCAAAGGAATTAACAATAATTGAATGAATGAGCTCAATGACTAGTTCTTTGGGCTGTTAAGAAAAATGTATTATCTCAGCATCAAATATACAATCATCACAGATCAAGAGTAGTATCACCAAGTGAAATGATAAAAATATGAAGAATAAACCAAGAGAAAGTGTAATTCCAATTAAATAATTGATAATTGCAAAACGCATAATCTAGTAGTAATTTACCTTTAACTAGCACGAGCTGATGAGAGTTTTTCTGAAGGAAGCTTTTGGGGTCTGATTTGATCCTTACAAAGCTATCTACCACTTTAGCTTCGAAGCTTTCAAAATCTTTCAATAGATCTAGAACTAAACTCTTTTTCAAGTAAACGAGCTTTATGTTCTCTGGTACTATTGCAGCAAAGCCATTTTTTGGTGTTTCAAAAATCCTTTTCTTCTGGTAAGTTTTTTTCTCCAGACTCAAACCTTTCTGTTCTTCACCTAGATTCTCCTCTCCTGAGCTAAAAAGAAAGTCATCATCCCATGCATCTAGGTTTTCCGCATAGTGTGTTTCAAGCAGGTCATAGACTTTGATTCGGTTTATTGTTTTTCTTCCAAAAAGATAATAAAGCTTTTCATCACAAATTACTCTCTTCTTTTTTGCTGGGTTAATAAGGTTATTCTCATTGATATATTTGCCTATAATGTCACTAACATCATGTTGAGAGATTTTTTCGGTGGTGTCTTTACCAATGGAATCAAGAAATTCAATAAGTGGCTTTGATCCCCATCCAATAAACTCCAGCTTCTTTGATTTGGCCTTTCTTTTCAAACTGACAGAAGTATGTGGCTTTCCACTGTATTCTTCCAACCAAAATATTCCATCCATATTTTACACTGAGATGTTAAACCTAACTTCCACAACTTGGAATCCTTAAGTTGGACAAGTGCCCAAAAAAGGCTTTACAATGCAGTGCATTCAATTCCAATGTATAGAAAGACATATGATCACCCTGAACATATACCAAGCCCTGCAACCGGAGTGGAAGATGACTATGTTTAACAATGACCAAAAATTAACAAAAGTGGTAAAGTCTATGTTTATGTTGGAGCTATCATTTTTGGGGTTATTCAGTCCCCAAGTAAACAGCTTGTCCATTTAAGCGCAATGCAGATAAAATTATATTTGCAACATTAATCCTAAAATATCCAAAATCATATGACTAGCAGGAATTTTTGGGAAATTAGAAGACAAAACGTCAACCGAATGAGTGAGTGCAAAAACATATAGAGACAATAATGTTGCGCCAGAACTGATGAGTCTCTCAACTGGTCATACAAGATACAGTATTTACAGAAATAAGTAGCCTGTACAAGAGGGATTTGATTCGGGCATACAAAGCATAAAGAGCAACACTTGTTGTCAACAGTACAAATTAAATACTTCACGGTTTTTCTATAATCAGACTAAATATCGATTATTAGTTTATTACCACAATAAAAACAGCGTTCCCTTGTTTTGTGTTCAAAAACGGAAATTTAGCTCCATTTTATTTCAAAATTGACACTTAAAATTGGTCTTTTAATGCATAATTTTGAAACAAGAAAGAAAGGAGGAATTCCAAGAGTACCCGGCCCTTCTTTAAATTATTTTATTTCATCTTTCAGTTAATATACTAATAACGATGGGTATGGAGTAGAAGAGAAGCAAATTATACAAGAATAATGAAATAGTAAAGAATAAATAAAGAACTTGTTAAAATAAAGCTTCGAGAGTTTTGGGTTTTGGGGTTTACCTTGCTGCAATTCGCTCAACAATTCTGTGTTTCAACAGAAAAAAAAGGCAAGATCAGAGTGATGCAGTGTTTGATTCCACTAGAAAATAACACAAATTTCAACAAAACAAGGGGGGAACAGATAGAAAAAATGGTTTTCAAGTTTAAAAATGTTGCATTGAAGAAAAAGAAAAGGCAAGGGATTGTGATTGGAAAATGCAAGAACAGTAAAAAAAAACGCAGCTAGAGATAATAGAACTGAAGAACATCGATGGGAAAAGTAAATCGGTAAAAGATTAAAAGGGTGCGTTTCGGTACCTTCGGAATTCAACGGCGGAGTTGCTGCTTTGAAGGGTTTAGATCAGTGTACCTGAGCCTTATTCGTGAAAGTAAATTAGCTCAATCTAATTCGGTCACACTTTTCGTCATCTTATTATAAAAAAATATAATCTAAATTTAAATAAAAGTAGAGATGAGTAAAATTTAATTTGATTTGAATTTTTTTTAATTTTAAATTATTTGAGACGAAGTATTCGAGTTAATTTAATTTTTAATTTAAATTTTTGAGTTTATATTTACCAATTCAAAATTTTGAAAAACTGAATTTAATAACTCTACAATGTAGTCCTTGATTTTCGTATTTATTCCATTCTTTATTATAAGCCTACTTTTTTTATCAATTTAAATCATATACTCCTAGACTCATTGTATAATATCTATGTAGTTTTTATTTTTGAGTAAAGTAAACAAATAGTCTCTAACTATAAGGTACTATTTTGTTGAATATCATGATTATTAAAAGTTATAAAACGGTCCTCTGATTTTAGGGTGTTGCTTTGTTGAGTCTATCGACTATTAAAATTTACAACATGGTCATCCAGTTATTCATATATTTTAAACTCATCATTTTTCGTTAAAAAAATGATGACAGCCTGAGTTTGACGTTAACATGTTGACCGAGATATAATAGTCATTTGAGATTTTGGGATCATATTTTATCATGTCACAATCAACATATTAATATCCAACTTAGACTGACATCGATGTTTTAACAGAGAATGACGAGTTTGAAACAAATGAATAATCAGATGATCATTTCATAACTTTTAATAGTCAAGAGACTCAACAAAGTAATACCCTATAGTTAGGGGACTATTTGTGTACTTTACCCTTAAATTTAATTGTAACTTTTTATAATATTATGATACATGTTATTTTCAATTTAACTAACTTTATCTAATTATACAATATATATTTCACGTGTAAGTAATATTTGTAAAGTTATTAATAAATAAAATCACATCTAAAATTATTAAATGTATTTAAAATTTTATATTTAAATAAGATATTTTGAAGAAAAATTATTGTTAAGATCATAAAGGAGTCAAATGAATTGATGAGCAAAAAGATTTTAAGAAAATCGACAAAATAATTAAATTAAGGGTAAAATATACAAACGATCCCCGATTATAGGATGATGCTTTGTTGAGTCCTCTAACTATTAAAAGTTATAAAATGGTCACCAAACTATTCCAAACTCGTCATTTTTCGTTAAAAAATTGACGGTAGTCTAAGCTAGATGTTAACTTGATGAATGACATATGATAAAATTTGATCCTGGAATCTAAAAAAAACTATTGTATCTCAGTCAACACGTTAACATCCAGCTCAGATTGTTGTCATTTTTTAACGAAAAAGGACAAGTTTGGAACATATTTAATAGACGGATGACCATTTTGTAACTTTTAATAGTCGGAGGACTCAACAAAGCAACACTTTATAGTCGAATGATCATTTTGTAACTTTTAATAGTTCGGGAGACTCAACAAAGCAACATTCTATAGTCGAATGACCATCTTGTAACTTTTAATAGTCAATGAACTTAACAAAGCATTATTCTATAGTCGAAGGACTAGTTGTATATTTTACCTTAAATTTAAATAAAAACTTGAACAATTCGATTAGACTCAAAATTATTTTAAGTATAAATTGGTATTATAAAATAAGATTCGTCAACTCGATTAATTCAATATTTTTTAACTCGACTAAATCGAATTAACATTTATAAAAAAAAATTAACATTTAATCATTAAATTAAATTATACGACTGTTATATTTTAAATCAAATTAATATTTAGATTAAATTAGTATTTTATTTTTAAAAATAAAATAAATACCCATTTGTGGAAGGAAATAAATAATAATTTTTAAAATAAAAAATAATCATTTTTAAAAATGAAAACTTTTTAGAATGAAACAAATAATTATTTTTAGAAAATAATATTTTTAATATTTTAAAATAAAATAAATAAGTTTTTTGAATAATAATATTTTTTAAATGTAATAAATAACCATTTTAAAAAATAAAATAAATAATATGTGGAAATATTGAAAGAAGAAATAGAGTAGGGGTATGTGATAAACCCCATTTATTGCCCCTTGCTAGTTTGTATAATAGGGGTATTGCTAATGCCATGGTTAGTCCCTATTCTCATACATCAATGAACCCATACACTCTCTACGTTTTAACATTTTCTCTTTCGAGATAAATAATACGTCTGCTGGGCCTATCTCCAACTCTGTCTCAATCGAGATAAAGAAGGGATTCGGAAATGAAATGGGATTCCAAATAACAAGCAACTGCTTTCAAACACAACTTAAGTGGCCTTAAAAAAACTTCAACATGCTTGGGTGGATGCCATATGGAAGATCAAATCAATCACACGGGAACTGCAAAACAAGACAAGCTTTGTCAAAATAACCATGATTCCAAAATGCCATACTTCAAAAGGAAATTAAGAGGAAGGCATGCTTTTTACCTGTAACCCCATTCATTGTCATACCAGGAAACGAGTTTCATGAAGTTGCCGTTCAGAGCAATACCGGCCTTGGCATCGAATATGCTCGACGTGTATCAACTTTCGATTTCAGGAAATCTTTTTGGAATTTATATAAATAAAATGCAGCAACTAGAACTCGTTAGATGGAACTTGCCTGCTGTCACCAATGAAATCTGTGGAGACAACATCTTCTTCAATGTAACCCAAAATTCCCTTCAGCTTGCCCTCGGACTCTGCCCTGAAATCATCAGCTTATACGGATAAGAATAAGATTTATTTGATATAACATGAAGGCAATTGTGTCCACAAATTATAACGAGACTTACTTTATAGCAGCTTTGATCTCATCATACGATGCAGACTTCTCAAGCCTTACAGTGAGGTCCACGACGGATACATCGACAGTAGAAATTCGGAATGTTCAACGGTAGGAACTCGGAAGGACATTCCGGTAGCAGCCTACGTATTCACGATATCAGAGTACATATATAAGAATAACCTAATATTGAGCAACATAAGTTAATTCTTAGTCAATTAACAGTTCTCATCTAACATAAATATTAGGAGGATAAAAATTTGGTTTTATTCCATATGTTAAAAAATGTTTAAATGATCATTTGTGCAAAGAGACTCGTTTTGTCATTGTCAAAATATTGATTGAGAGTAGGATGTAAATGAGACGAGACAGATCGTGAGCTACTCGAGATCAACTCGGTCAATACTCGAATTGAATCGACTCGATTCGAGCTCAAACTCGAATTCTTAACAAGTTGAGCTACTTGATACTTAACAAGCCGAGCTTTGTATTAAATTTGAACACGAAAGATAGAATCTGCAATTGAGGCAAAAACCCAGATTTTGGCTGTGGAGAATTGAAGCTACAATTTCAACATAGAATCGAATATAAATTTATAAAAAGGAACTCTTAAAAGCGAGGCATATGCCACTTTTCTATCACCCATTGTATACGTTTACTCTTTGGGTGTGGATATTGTCATAGGAACTTCACTAGTTAGTAGGAACACTCTTAATATGACTATTAAACACCATCCAAATTCAGAATCCCCATTTCCAGTAAAAATAGAGAAAACCAAATAGTGCAAACCAAATGCTTTAGAATTCAATTTCAGGGCACTTTCAGAAGAAAGAGACCTCCTAAAATAGGCGTATGCCACTATCCGCAGCGACCAAACGGTATTCTTTAGTAAAAGGCTAGCAACTAGTAGGATCCAACAAGAACCTATATACAACCTCTCGGAGCTGGTTTCCATGATTGCTCAAACAAAAGTTTCATCTTATCAAACTCGGTAGTTCTTGGGGAAGAAGAACAAAGGAAGGTCGTATCCACTCATGGTGCAGAAACATCCAATGTTCCTATCAAAATCAAGAAGAGTGAATATGACTAGGAAACAAATGGCAGAGAGGATCTGCTAATTTACTAGACATATTCTTCTGTCTTGATTTCGATAGCAACATGTATATAGATATTTCTTAAGCCAGTTTCTCTCGGTTTCTCTAAGTTGAATAATCTTCTTCAAGAAGTTGGGTTTCCATGAGTGTAGTTATAAGTCTCTAAAATTGATTTTGTTCTTGAACCCTCGACTTCCATGATCTTGGACCGAAATTTCTCTTCCCTACTTGGATGTTTGTCAACATCACCAAAATAGTAACAAAGACAGCTCCATAGGCAGGATTCGTACTGTAACACCCCTAACTCATATTCGACCCGAAACAAGTCTAAGATGTCACATTGACTTTTCAAACTTTGATTCTTAAAGAAAAATCCTGGGAATTTAAAACTTTCATTAAAACAAAATACTTTAATTTACATAAAAGAGACTACTTAATACAAAATTGATCAGAGCATTCATAATTAACCACTTATTATATACCAACACTTTATACACAACAAAATACCTACTTTGTCAATTACTTCTGATCTGATTTCTTAGTAATGTTGATGTCCATGCCACTGCTATTCTGAATCTTCTTATTACTCGGTACCTACGTGTAAATCACTTACACGCTAAGTCATAGACTTAGTGAGGCAATAAATGAATATGCAACAATATCTTCATGAATATGCATTCTTACCATTTCCTTCATGACATTTCAATATGCATGTATCTATTACACAATAACATATATAATCATATCATGCATGTACAAGACTTACCTTCTTGTACCACTTTCACTTTACTTTGTATTTCAATTGCCCATGTATACTATTGAGAATAGAGGCATGTGAGTGCATTGAGGTTGTGCACTAATGCTGTCACCACAGCTCGTATCAATTCCCTCATGGGGCACCGAACCTTAGTTCAGTATTCGTCCCGAAGGACTGTCATATATGTCCCGTAGGACCCCTATGTCCCGTGGGACCACAACATCCCGAAGGACTATTATACCCTCGACTCTTGGCATGTCAATTACACCTATAGCTCTCATATCGTATACTCTGGGCATTATTCTTATATTTCATATGTTCATGTACTCATGTCATTTCTCTTGTGATCATGTAGTTCATGTCATTTATCTTGTGATCATATAGCTCATGTCATTTCTCTTGTGATCATGTAGCTCATGTCATGTTTTCATATCACATATCATATCACATGTGTATTTGAATCTATTCATATATATACATCATTTATCCAATCACATGAACATATATATGCCTTATGCATGTATTACAATAATTATCATGTATGCATGTTCACAACTTTTGTACTATGAAAATCAATATAGGAATTAGACTTATCACAAGTCTTATTCCATTATACTATACATATAGTATGCACTCACCTTAGCTTTGCTTTGATTCGATTCTAATCCTTTGATCGTTCAAGAATAAGCTTACTTTTAGTATCTACATAATCACACATGGATCTATATCAGTATTATAGCTAATATACTCTAATTGTTCACTCTTTAGATTAAGATAAATGCAAATTTCCTCTTTTACTGAAGGTATGCATCGATGCATTACTTGTGCATCGGTGCATAAAATGCATTCGATGTTTTATTATTAATGGGATGCATCGATGCATGCCTTATGCATCGATGCACTAATTGCATTCGATGTTTTTATTTTAAAAGAGTGCATCGATGCACTACCTGTGCATCGATACACCTTCAAACACTTTTTTGGTTTTAACCTTGATGCATCGATGCACTATGAATATGCATCGATGCACTCTGCCCAGAATCCTCTTTTTGAACCCGAAAATTAATTCATTTTGGATTAAATTCTTCATGTTTAATCCTCTTTTTCATTCTTAACTATAGTACACATCCTTAAACCAATTTATACTCATTTATTTCATCTTAAACCTCCAAATTCTATCATTCGTATGTAATTCAAGAATTACATCAATAATTCAACATGTTTAAATTCCGCTTTTAACACTTCGTATATCTTAACTAGATTGATGACAAGTCAAATTTAACTTTCAATTCTAGTTATGAACTCTATTTCAAGATTTCATTTAAGAACTTCAAATCTTAAATCTCTCCTAACTCCATCATCTTTTGATGTTAAGATAACTTAAGCTCTCCTTAAGCTTAGTTATCATCTAATAATCAAAACTCAATATTAAATTTAACAAGAAACTCAATAATCAGAAATCTTACCTTGGCTTTGGTTCACACGCACAAGGAAAAAAGAAGAAGAGAACTCTGGAAGCCTTGGGTGTTTTCTCCCCTTCCACCCACGTGTATCCTTATATCTATACTTATCATTTCTTTAATTATTTTTCCTTGCAATTACTCTATTGTCCTTCCATTCCTTCTTCCTTTCAATTCCATCCTACACAATAATTTACATATAAATCTTTATACTATTCATTCATTTTATTTTAACCACCAAATTCTGAGACTTTACAATTTAGTCACTAACCCGGTATTGAGGATGTTACACGTACCCCTATTCCTATACTGTATTACCTAGGCCGGAAAGAACCGATTGCTAGCAGACACTCCATGAATCGAACAAATTCGAACATGATACGAACGCAATGCCAAAAAAACCCGAAACTTAATCACTATTCAGAATAATGTAGCATCGAATACTACATCTTAAAACCCGAAACCCGAAACTTAACTTGAGTAGCTTACTCACTTCTCTTAAGAAACGAATTCCATCGAAGGTATCCCGGATTGGATATATGAAAGCCTGCACCTGCAGGGCCAAGAGGAGGGTGTTTTACTTTTATTATATTGTATGCAGTGAATGCAGCATTGGATCACGAGGTTATGAATTTCAGTAAAAAGGCTTACTTTATTAGTACTTAATCATGAGATTCAGACAAAGATCATGTGATGCTGCCTCCCCTATGTTTCTCAGATAGTCAACGAAAAAAGTGCAACTGAAAACTATGAGATCTGAGTTAATAAAAATCACAATTTACAAAAATGATTCCCTTCATCTATGTTGATGACCATATCAGCCCTAGATTTTGCACTTATCAATTGCTAAAAGACAATGGATTCTAACGTAGTTACATGATATTAACATCTATAGCACTATTTGGTAACAACTAATATGGAATCAGCCTACCTCGATATCGCGTTAGAAAAAAACAGTGTCACGTCCCGGAGAGGTGAGGACATAAATGTCACATCAAAAAGAAAAAGAGAGATTTTGAAGTTTATAACTGATGATATTTCACATCTTATCATGTCTTTTGATAAAAGAGTAATGATATCGTGACAAGTAGTATCAGAATGATCCTTCCATTCCTTCTTCTTTTCAATTTCATCCTACACAATAATTTACATATAAATCTTTATACTATTCATTCATTTTATTTTAACCACCAAATTCTGAGACTTTACAATTTAGTTACTAACCCGGTATTGAGGATATTACACGTACCCCTATTCCTATACTGTATTACCTAGGCCGGAAAGAACCGATTGCTAGCAGACACTCCATGAATGTACCACGATAAATTGCTAAATTTAAAAAAAAAAAGATTTACCACTAACAGTAGCTTGAAATGATCTTACTAAATTTGAGCAGGAATCATAGAAATATGTGACCAAGGTAAAACCCAGATTTTGTCTGGGAAGAACATAAGTCTCAATTTCTTCGTCGAATCATAAACATTCTCCCACAGATCAAAGTGTTCCTTTCAAACTCAATGTTCTGAATTCTGACTCATTGCTTTATTTTCAGATGTTTAAGCAAAATTCAGGAACAGTGTACAAAACAGCAAAGAAAATAATAAAAAAAAAAACTACATCGTGGAAAGTCATTTCATCAAGGAGTTCATGAACTTTTTGAAAGTCGTTTCGGCAACAATAAAACTGGATGATAGTTGAGTAGCTGATGACACACAGGTGACAACCGTGTCCTCTCATCTCTTCAACTGTTCATCGTGCCTCTTCAACGCGATTGATTTTTCACCAATCAGGAATGAAGATATTAAATGTGTAAGCATCAGGTGCAATGTGTGATTTAAGCAGCAAGAAAATCTCACGGGCCTCTTCAACATATTTCTATTTGCAAAGGGTGTCAAGCAGCAAGTTCATTAACTCTGTATTCTTCTCCAATCCAAAAGTTTCCAGTTCATCAAAAATCCTCATTTTCCCATTTCCCTGCACCAGCAAACCTTCTCATAACCCTGGCTATCGTGTTAAGCGTAACAAGGCGACCTTGACACATTTCCTCCAAGAAATCCTTCATTCGATCTATTTGTTTCATTTACCGAGGATGTCAACCATCATATCATATGCTTGACGAGAGCGATTATAGCCTGGGCGTGAAGCTGCCCATCTAAAAGCACCCAATGGATTTCCAGTCATCCTTGAACCATGCAGCAACTTTCCAGCAAGGCCATGGGAAAGCTGCATAGAGTGATCATTCTTTAGAGACTGGAAAATTTCATCCTCATTGCTCCGAGCATGAACTTTACTGAAGAGAATGTCAACGTCACATCATCCCACGACTTCATCCGATCCGGTGAAGCGAGAAGATTCCACAGGCAAAGCAAGAGTGGAACTTTCAGAGTATGCACGGAAAAGGAAACATAATATTGATGGTTTGAACAGGAACGAAGTACTTCTAAGGCAGTTCTGTAAAGGGTAAATCATGGAGAACTGCCCTCTAAACAAAATTCAGTCGGGTCCTTAAAACTGCATCTCCAACGAATAAAAGCATTAGCCTCTCTATTTAGCTTATCAAAAATACATAACAACAAAATAATTAACTATGCCCCAAAACTATAGAAAATGTCTCACTTAAGCCTTCATACTGTGATACTATTATTTAGTTTCAAGCTGAATTTGGGTGAGAAATGCTGACATAGCTAACTACTCTGTTAACCCATCTATGGTGGCAGCCATGATGCGACAAACATATGAACAAGTTTGATGACATTACAATTACATTGCATAAATGAACTCAGAATTCCATATTGGTTCAGGCATTCTATCAAATATCTTCCATACACAGGATGGGTGACAACCTGAGAAACTTCTTACGAAAAAAAGATGAAATCACTAGTTAAGAAGGACAAATCTTATTAAATTTGGGTTTTCTGGATTTCAGTCTTAAATGTCGAATTAAAACAGAAAAAATGCAACATAATTAACCTGATTTGAAAAACAAGAGCTTTGGGATGGGAAGATCTTCGAAATCAATTGCGTCGGGTGGAGTGGGAGATGTACTATCAAGAGCTTGCCATATCTGTTGGGCCTATCTCCAACTCTGTCTCTGTCGGGAAAAAGAAGGGGTTCGGCAATGAAATGGGATTTATGCAAAGCGCACCAATCTGTTGCAGTCAGTCGCTTTGGTCGAGTGGTGAAGGCGTGTGCCAGCTAAGTGCATGGAATTTTCCCGCGATGCATAAACACCGTTTACGTCATAACATTAAACTAGTAAAATAGTTCATCTACACCTTCAAAAAATGCAGAAATGGAAACACATCCAATCTTGGTTTTATTCCAAATAACAAGCAGCTGCTTTTAAACACAACTCAACTGGCTTTAAAAAACTTCAACATGCTTGGGTGGATGCCATATGGACGATCAAATCAATCACACGGGAAGTGCAAAACAAGACAAGCTTTGTCAAAATAATGCCATACTTCAAAAGGAAATAAAGTGGAAGCATGCTTTTTACCTGTAACCCCATTCGTTGTCATACCAGGAAACGAGTTTCACAAAGTTTCCGTTCAGAGCAATACCAGCCTTGGCATCAAATATGCTCGACCTGTATCAACGTTCGATTTCAAGAAATTTTTGGAATTTATATAAATAAAATGCAGCAACTAGAACTCGTTAGATGGAACTTGCCTGCTGTCACCAATGAAATTTGTGGAGACAACATCTTCTTCAATGTAACCCAAAATTCCCTTAAGCTTGCCCTCGGACTCTGCCCTGAAATCATCAGGTTACGGATAAGAATAAGATTTATTTGATATAACATGAAGACAATGGTGTCCACAAATTATAATAAGACTTGCTTGATAGCAGCTTTGATCTCATCATACGATGCAGACTTCTCAAGCCTTACGGTGAGGTCCACAACGGATACATCAACGGTAGGAACTCGGAAGGACATTCCGGTTAGTTTCCCATTGAGTGCAGGAAGAACCTTTCTAACAGCCTACGTATTCACAATATCATCGAGTACATATATAAGCATCAACTGAGTAACCGAAAATTTGAATCTCAACATTAACAATCCTTTACTTATTTCCATTGAGGCCAGGAAGAACCCTTTCCAACAGCCTATGTATTCACAATATCATCAAGTACATATATAAGAATCAACTAACCAAAAATTCAAATCTTAACATTGACAATCCTTTCCTTATGTCCAAGCTAACCACAAATATTGCAAAATAAGGACTAAATCCAATCTGGTTTGAAAATATACCCTGGCAGCACCGGTGCTGCTAGGAATGATGTTGAAGGAAGCAGCTCTACCACCTGTCCAGTCAGTTGATGCTCCATCAACAGTGTTTTGTGTAGCTGTAAATAATAATAAAAAAAGAACTTTATTAATTAAAGAAAAAAAACAGCATACCCATTTGAAAAGAGTTTAAAAAAAGGGGAAAATGGTATTACCAGTGATTAACAGAATGTATGAGTTAGATAGTTAGTTAGGAAGAAGTTAGAATTAGTTGATATCAACAGCTATATATAAGTGTAAAAGATCAGTTCAAAAGTAATAATAGAGTTTCATTTTTCTGGTTTATACAAACTTTGATATGATATCAGAGAATTCCGATTCTTCAAATTCAGCAGATTCAAGTCTTATCTTCAAGAATAATGATCCTAGTAGTGAGTATTACATACATCCTAATGAAAACCCTTCATTAGTTCTAACTATCTAACTCATACATATACATTCTGCTAGTGATAGCATGAACGGTGGTCATAAGACCCTCAAAAATTCCAAATCGATCATGGATAACCATAGCAAGGGGAGCAAGACAATTGGTAGTGCAGCCAGCATTGGAAACAATGTCGAACACGGGCTTGTAGTTGTAGTCTTTCTCGTTCACACCCATCACAAACATGGGTGCATCTTTGCTTGGAACAGATCACAACGGATACATCAACGATAGGAACTTGGAAGGACATTTCGGTTAGTTTCCCATTGAAGAACCTTTCCAACCCCAAGTATTCACAATATCATCGAATACATATATAGAATTAACCGAAATATGTTGCTGCCTAAGTATTCACAATATCATACTAAACATAACTAGAGAAGCTATAACAACTGTCAAGATTGAAGAACGAAGACTAACGGGCGAAGAAAAGGAAGTACCAAAACAAATCCAGCTGGTGGGACTCTAAAGATAATATTTTTAAAATAAAATTTTAATGCTCATTCCAAAGAATAAGCCCTCCAAAAATAAGCGTATGCCACTTGTGCAGCGAGCACACTGCGTGCTTTGATATTACTTATTTACGTCTATTTATACTTGTTCTGGAACGCGTGGCGCTGTGTATTGTCTGTGTGGGATTACTGCTCTGAAGCTTTATTGCTAAACAGGCCAACTAAGGGGAAAAAAAGACTGTAACTTCAATAAATCAAAGAGATAGGGGCCAATTTGACATTGCAGTGAACTCAAAATATATATAGTACTTTCAATAAGCATTTTAAAATTTCATGTATGGTGGAAATTGTGCAAACCGAAAACTACTTAATTTGAATGAGAAGTTTACCATGAGCAATAGCATGGAATTTTTGCTGCATTGTATTGAATTTGAACACGAAAAATAGAATCTGCAACTGAGGCAAACCCCAGATTTTGGCTGGGGAGAATAGAAGCTACAATTTCAACATATAATCGAATATACATTTATAAAAAAGAACTCTTAAAAGCGAGGCATATGCCACTTTCTTATCAACCATTTTATACATTTACTCTTTGGGTGTGGATATTGTCATAGGAACTTCACTGGATAGTAGAAACACTCTTAATATGACTATTAAACACCATCCAAAATTCAGAATCCCCATTTCCAGTCAAAATGTGGAAAACCAAATAGTGCAAATCAAAAGCTTTAGAATTCAATTTCAGGGCACTTTCAGAAGAAAGAGCCCTCTGGAAATAGGCGTATGCCACTATCTGCAGAGAGCGCACGGTATTCTTTAGTAAAAGGCGAAAAGAATAGTGCCTTCAGCTGTAGCAACTTGTAGGATCCAACAAGAACCTATATACAACCTCTCGGAGCTGGTTTCCATGATTGCTCAAACAAAAGTTTCATCTTATCAAACTCGGTAGTTCTTGGGGAAGAAGAACAAAGGAAGGTCTTATCAAACTCAAGATGCATCCAGTACATTTTATGTTTTTCTAGCAGCTTGCATCGAACCCCGGCTGTAGTGCAAAGTTTTTCACTTAAAAATCAGTTTCTAGTTGCTGAAGACAACAAATTTGTCTGCGACAATGTCACTAGCCTCTGAAGCTTTGATTGCGATATCCTGAAGAGGAACAAAGATCGTTTAAATCCGTAATTCAGTCTAATTGATCCATACCATCACTCTTATGAACACATCATAGTTTTTTAGTACTGATTCCTAACCTTTTATGCCTTTATTCAAGGGGGGGAAATAGTAGATCACTTGAAAATCAACTTTCCAGGCATAATACAAAAGACTAGAAACGCTTAATATTACTATTAAACATCATCGAAATGGACTGCTGGAGCATCACAACTCAGTTTATCTTTGCAAACAACTGCTAGATTAAGTGGAGTTCAAAGTTCTCATGGTTGGTCTTCAGGCTTGTGGAGGTGCGTTGAGCTGAAAGAAGCTTCTGTTGAGTTAGCTATGCCATCCACTGATGGGAACCCATTAACAGTTGTGTCTCCTCCAGGTGTTTGATAGAAATCAAACTAAGTCTTTGTGTCGGCAACACACTTGGCAAATGATGGCAGCAGTTATATGGACAGAAGCTTCATGAATTATACAAATTAAAAGAATGGATACAAGTGTTAAGTAACAACCTTTTACAATTGACAAGTTGATGATTAAGCATCTTGAATCGTGGATGAACTTACAACAGTTATTTGAGGCGGCAAATCTGGTGTTTAAAGAAATGTGATAGCACAACAAGCAAACTTGATCAAGGCATCAACTAGGATGAACGCGGCAGCAACAAAAGAGATTAACAACAAAGCAAAAAGTACATGAAACACCAATTTGGTGAGTTGGCAGCATCTAATATAGTCCTTATCAATTAAGTACATAAATCATAGAATTAAAGATAAATACGACATGGATTTGCAGCAAACAAAGACGGTGAAACCAAGGATATAAATGTGTGTTGTAGCTTTAGTTTAGGATGGATGTATGAGAGTGAAAGTGCGAGGTCAGCAAAGTCTTAGATAGCGGGTTGTGTTTGTGAACTAGCCGCAATTAGTTTTTGTATCATCTTTGTATTTTAGTTCGTATTAATAATAAGTTGAGAATTATAAATTACCGAGTGACCATTCACGGTTCCAACAATATTGTTGTCAGAATAGGGGTTGTTTGTGAACGATTTACATCCAATATATCAGTTGAACAGTTGTTTCTTTGTCTTAGATCTCTATGGGTATATTGGTAGAGTTAGTAAAAAGATTGCAGTGGTTGGAAAAAATAAAAGACCACAGGGAAACAAGGATGATGCTTTGGGTGGAAAACTGAGGGAGAAAGTTCCTAGTGATACTGGAGAAAGTTTAGCAGTAAATGTCCTCCAGCTTAGATTTCTCGACTCATACCCATAGGATATCAAGGGGACACCTTTAGTGAAGTTTATTGGAAATGATCTGTTCCTTAAAGCCTCTCACAGAACTCTTGATGGTGCTATGGCCGTTTCATGTACTTTGCATTGGGAGAGTGTTCAGGTGGACTGTGTACAGACAGAGGGAACCATTGTACACAATAATGGAGAACACTCTTAGGTTCAGTTGAAAATGGTTCTCTGGTAACTGGGAACGGATTTTCTCCATTAAGAGCTATATTTTGGGTACAAAACAAGCAGAAGCGCCCATCAAGTGGAAAAGCTTCAGTAATTCCATTTCTGGACATAAGCATTGCGCATGCCATTCCTTTTGCTGAGAGGGACAAAGGATGTCAAAGTTTAAGTGTGTCAGCTTGCATATCAGGTGTTCGCTTAGGTGGAGGAATGAATTATACTGTTGAGTTGGTCACGGTCGGTGTGGAAGGTTTTTGGAGGCCTTCAAGCCTCAGTCATAGAAGAACATCCTTCAAAATGCATCATCAGCAAACGGCTTCAATGAAAGTTTTGAGATATTAGGAGGGATAAATCTTGAAGTTCCTATGCTCATATCCGAAGATAATGTTGAGAATGAAACGGTCGACTGGGTGGTGGAAAACTTGAAACTTTTTGTCAAACAACCGATTGATGCCGTTGTCACCAAGAATGAACTTCTGCACCTTGCTTTCTTATGCAAGTCTGAAGTTGATTCAATGGGTCATATAGCCGCTGGAGTCTTGCGGTTGCTCAAGCTGGAAAACTCGCTTGGAAGGATGCCATAGATGAACTTAGCAACTTAGGGATCGATGGTTTCAACAAGATTTTCTCATCTGATAAACTCAACCGAGGAGACATGGAAGTATGGGGCAGTCTCCATTATAAAAAATGATTAATGAAGACCAGCTCTCAACTGTGGCTTTGCTTGAGGAGGCAGTTTTGGATTCACAGTCCAATTGTGCCACTCTCGTCACTGAATTATCCAATTCATCGTCTTTGGAGGAGAATCATCTTTCGAATATTAAATAACTGAGGCAAAAACTAGATAGTATGCAGAGTTTACTGGTGCAACTGCGAGGTCAGATGTGAAATAGAGCAATTTTCTTACCATTCTTTGTTGCAAAACTGAGGGCGGCATCATATATAAATACATGTGCATAGTATTAAATTGCGGACACGCGTAATTTATTTTCTAAAAGTAAACGTTAATGTGTTACAGCTGCAATTTAATTTAATACTATGTGCATGCGTCAGTTTATGAGCTTAGATAGGCATCAAAGGAAGATGATTATCGGTCTAATCTGATATTCTGTGTCTTGAAGACGAAGACAACTCTTTTTGTGCAAACCAAAAGCTTTAAACTTCAATTTCAGGGGACTTTCCGAAGAAAGAGCCCTCCAAAAATAGGACCTGCCACTATCTGCTGCGAACACACGGTATTCTTTAGTAAAAGGCGAAAGAATGGTTCGCTATGTCCTCACTGCGTGGCTGCGTGCTTTTCCTAATTTAACTTTCGGTTATTTATATTGGTTCTAGTGCTCACGGCGTCTTTGTCTTGCCAATGTCGGATTATTGCTCTAAACCTTGTTTCCTGAGCTAAAGAAACTTCAATAAACCACGAAAATGGACCAAGATGACATTACTTTTTACTCCAACAAACATTTTTAAATTCGATAGATGTAGAACTATAGATGCATCCATTACAGTTCATGTTTTTCCTAGCAGCTTACATAGATCTCTAGTTGTATGACAGTTTTGCAATTTTCTCAGTTTCATTGCTCCGACAGTACATGTTCGTCTGTAAGTACATATTCAAATCCACTGATAATTTTATTATCCAAGAACAATATTCAATAAACTTGCCTGCCAATAATACAATTGTCAAGTATCTGTCCTTTAAAATGTAAAAAGTAAAACAATCCAACTCCAACTCTCCAATTGAATAAATTCCATAGGCAGCCAAAACACATTATTCAACCTACAAAGTATGAAGAATTCAGCAATTGCTTTAATTTGGGCCAGAGAAGAAGTTGTTAACAGATGGCATAATCTGAGGCGGTCTCTTGCGGACAAACTCCCTCAGCCCATGTTGTGCATATTTTTCACCTTCTTCAAAGTTATCTAGAATTCCAGTAGCCCTGTTTTCTTTGGTTACCCATTTTATACATTTACTCTTTGGGTGTGGATATTGTCATAGGAACTTCACTAGTTAGTAGGAACACTCTTAATATGACTATTAAACACCATCCAAATTCAGAATCCCCATTTCCAGTCAAATTGTGGAAAACCAAATAGTGCAAACCAAATGCTTTAGAATTCAATTTCAGGGCACTTTCAGAAGAAAGAGACCTCCTAAAATAGGCATATGCCACTATCCGCAGCGACCACACGGTATTCTTTAGTAAAAGGCTAGCAACTTGTAGGATCCAACAAGAACCTATATACAACCTCTCGGAGCTGGTTTCCATGATTGCTCAAACAAAAGTTTCATCTTATCAAACTCGGTAGTTCTTGGGGAAGAAGAACAAAGGAAGGTCATATCTACTCATGGTGCAGAGACATCCAATGTTCCTATCAAAACCGAGAAAAATGAATATGTCTAGGAAACAGGCAGCCAAGAGGATATGCTAGTGTCCTAGACATATTCTTCTGTCTTGATTTCGATAACATGTATATAGATACTTCTTAAGCACAGTTTCTCTCGGTTTCTCCAAGTGGAATAAGCTTCTTCAAGAACTTGGGTTTCCATGAGTGTAGTTTTAAGATTCTCATGCTTTCTAAAGTCTCTAAAATTGCTTTTGTTCTTGAATTCCATGATCTTGGACTGAAATTTCACTTCCTTACTTGGATGTTAGTCAACATCACCAAAATTGTAGTAATGACAGCTCCATAGGCAGGATCCGTACCCCTATTCCTATACAGTATTACTATTACCTAGGCCGGAAAGAACCAATTGCTAGCAGACACACTCCATGAATGTACCACGATAAACTGCTAAATTTATAAAAGAGAATTACCACAGCTCAAAATGATCTTTACTTAATTTGAGCAGGAATCATAGAAATATGTGATAAAGGTAAAACCCAGATTTTGGCTGGGAAGGACATAAGCCTCGATTTCATTATCAAAACGTAAACATCCGCACACAACTCAAATGTTCCTTACAATCTGGCATATGCATATGTTATGAATTCGGACTCGTTAAGCAAAGTTCAAGAAATGTATGCATATCAGCAAAGAATATAAAATCCATATCGGAGAAAACTAAGTTCTTAATGAAGTAAAAAATTTAGAACTCAAATTTTAGGGCTAAATCCAAAGATATAGCCCTCCAAAAATAGGCGTATGCCACTTTGTACAGCGAGCACACGGTATTCTTTAGTAAAAGACGAAAGAATAGATCGCTTTGTGCTCACTGCGTGCTTTCCTAAATATAATAGTGCTCACGGCGTCTCTGTCTTGCCAATGCGGTATGATTTATGTTTTTTCTAGTAGCTTGCATATATCTTTGTGATAGTTTTTCATTTAAAAGATTGGCTTTTAGCCAAACTTAACACAAACAGGTTCATATAAATAAACCAAACCTGAATTGAACTATGAAAGATTGGATATTTAAATCGACCTAAAATCAAATCACAAATTAAATCAAACTATATAATCTGGTTCAAATCAATCTCTTGATTTTCTTGATTTCATTGCTCAATCTTAAAGGTTCATATGTACATATTAAGATTAAAATCCTCTGATTATTTTATTATTCAAGAATAATATCCCAAAAACTGGCTTTTAGCCAGTCAACAATACAATTGTCTTATGTCTGTATTTCAAAATGTGAAAAAACAATCCGACTCTCCAATTGAATAAATTCCATAGGCAGCCAAAACACATTATTTCAACCTTCAAAGTATGAAGAATTCAGCAACTGCTTTAATTTGGGTCAGAGAAGAAGTTGTTAACAGATGGCATAATCTGAGGTGGTCTCTTGCGGACAAACTTCCTCAGCCCATGTTCTGCATATTTTTCACCTTCTTCAAAGTTCTCAAGAATTCCAGCGGCCCTGTTTTCTTTGGTTACCCTGTGTCAGATTCAAAAACGTCTGCATTGTTATATCAATTTTCTGCAATCAAACTCTGAATCTAGCTTTAGATGAAAACAAATTGTTCAATATATATATATATACCTGACTTCAGGGTTGGTGGTGATATTCCTCACAAGTTGGATAGCACAAATGCCAACGGCGACACCCACTGATGCAAATAGTGGGTACACCTAAACAGAAGAGGAAGGGAAGAAAACCATGAGCAATTGGTTTGTTTTATACGATTTGTAAATGAAACAGAGTTCTCAATATGTTGTCATTCGACAAGTATTCAAACATGAATACGAGATATGATCTTTCAATAAATGAAAAATCTTTAATACAAAATATGAACATGGTTGATGGTCTGAGTAGGAAGATCGGGATCTTTTATAAAAATCTTTATAATTTCAATGCTAATTCGATGAAACAAAATAAGATACAAGTTCAGGCCACAGATTCACGTATCAGCATGAATGTATCGTTTTATAATCTTCTATGTCAGGAGATTTTCAGATCATAACATAAAACCCCTAACATAATGAATACCAAAGTATAACTGCTCCTATTGCACCCAACATTTTCATAGTTCTATTTTTACCCCAACTCATAGATCTGTTCTAAACGAACAAAAAGTAAACATGCCATGAACATATCATGTCCTTAAAGATCACAATAATGAATGATTTAAGAAGGAGCAGTGAAAAGAACACCTCAGGTCTGAGCCATCTGTTTGCAGAAGCCATGATTAGGTTCAAAGATGAGATGAAGAGAGAATGAGAGAGATCTAAGACAGAGCCAACAAACGCAAGGGAGGCTATGACCCCTTCTCCAAGAAACTTTTAAGGGAACCAACATCACAACGAAGGCAATAAATATACGGCTTAAATTTCCAAGTTTGACGCGTCTGGGACACAACTGTTACTCGTTTTCTTTTTCCTTCCTTTTTTTTTTAAGAGAAAATAACTTCAGTGACCAAAAATCTCATATAATATATAATTTTAATCAATTTTTTTCGGATTTGTCAAAATGACCAACAAAATCGCAATGCGATCTCCATTATCGCAAATCAGTTTCCAGATTCGCAACGCGATTATTACTATCGCAATGCGATTTTTTAATTTCGCGTTGCGATTTTCCCAATTCGCAATGCGAATAAGTAAATCGCAATGCGAATTTGGAAAATCGCAATACGATACTGACTATCGCAACGCGATAATACAAAATTGCAATGCGATACTGACTTTCGCAACGCGATACTTACTTTCGCAACGCGATTCTGACTTTCGCAACGAGATAGTACATAATCGCAATGCGATTTTCAAAGCGCCATTAGTATCGCAAAGCGTATTTTATTTTCAAATTCCAAACACGAATATTAATATATTGGAATACTGAACCGTCCACAGTATATCTCGTAATCGCAACTCATAACCTAAAACCTAAAATCACAACTCAGTCCCATCTCCATCTCTCACTCTCTCACCCATCTCCGACGAAATCCGTCCCCATCTCCGGCGAAATCCGTCTATCTCCATCTCTCAGAGCCATCCTCACAATCAGAAATGGAAAATCAACCAAATCAACCACCGATGGTTAGTTTTTTTAATTATTTTCTTTTTGAAATTTTTGCATTATTATTAGGTTTTTCATATTGAAATTGATGATAAGTTTACTGGTAATTTCAATAATAGATTAACCATTTCACTTAGATTGCTTATTAAATCAACCGAGAATCGCAACGCGAAATGAAAATCGCAACGCGATTTTATTCTCTCATTGCGATAGTCAAATTCGCGTTGCGATTGTCATTTTCGTGTTACGATTTTCATTTTCAGAAACTATTCTTCTTCTGCAAATTGAAACTTGAATGAATTGCATTACTTCAACCAAAAAACAAAGACAAATAAGAAATTCACAGTGTTGCAAATTTAAGTTTGAAGAATAAACTACTACTCTTTATGTTTATTATTGTTTTTGGTATATCTTCACAGTGTAGTTTTTGGTATATCTAACTTAGTATGTTTATTGTTTTTGTAGAACTTTTATTCGGCTCAATTGACCTTAAGAAATAAAGTCAGCCTGGCCAAAACAATTGCGTCGAAGCTTTCACCTACACAAAGAAAAATGTTTGAGGATACTTGCTTCGGGCCATGGCTGAAAGTACAACATCCCGGTGGAGATGCGATGTTGACACACCTGTTTCTTCAAACCATGACTAGGGATCTACCAGATACTATACAACGTCGTGATGAAGAGATATGGTTTGATTTTTCACCGGCGTATACGTGTTTTGGGCGGGAGGAGTTTTGCTTAATCACCGGTCTACGCTTCGGACACGATGATGTAGGTCGGTACACTAAACACATTACCCGCCCATCATGGTTATCCCGGGTTTTCCTTGAGCTGGAGAGGCCGAATCTACACGTGGAAGACCTGACGAGATTATTGAATAAGAAATATAGTTTTACTCGGATGGATGACGTCGATGTTGTCCGAGTATGCCTTCTAATACTTTTGCATGCCGACTTTTTAGGCAGAGAGGCCAGACAACCTATTCCGAATGATCTAATCAAATTGTTAGAAGACCTAAATGCGTGAAACCTGTTTCCGTGGGGCTCGTATTTATGGAAAACTACATGGAATAAGTTATCGTCTGCCTTGGATGATCGAAAAAGTTTGCATGGTGATGGTTCCAAATACACTTTGACAGGCTTTATTTGGGCCTTTAAGGTAATAATTTTTATATAATGTTTCCAAAATTATAAGTAATTATTTAACAATTACTAATGTTTGTTATTATATTGTTTGTAGATTTGGATATTTGAGGCCTTTCCCGCCATGAAGACATATGCAATAAAAACTTCAAATGATATTCCCAGGGCTATTTCCTGGAAGAGGAAACGGACCTTGCAATGTGAAGATTTACTACGGTATACGACAATAAATAATGTAAGTTAACATAAATACTACCATATGTTTATAAACAAGTTATTACTAGTACACGTTTAACTTTGTTTGAGCTTTTATATTGTTAGGAGGCCAACACTCCATTACAGAGGCTGACACCCACGGAAGCTGAGCTTGCCACTGATTGGTGGCAAGCTAGTAAGCATTTTTTTGATGGTACGGATGATGAGCAGCCTCCACTTCGGGAGCCATCACCTCAGCCAGAGCTATCACCTCACCTAGAGCCATCACCTGATCGACCCGACTATACACCTCCACAACGACAGCCATCACCTATTCTTTCACATCATCGAGCCTCTTCTCCACCATCACCGCAAGATAGGCGACCGGCAAAGATGCCACGACGTTTATCTCCCTGTTCTCCAAATCCACCTCCACGAGATAAGTTAGGGGAGTTACGTGATGAGGTCAATGCCTTGCGTGAGGAGGTCGGTACTTTACGCAAAGACGATGGTGCATGGCGTGTTGAGGTGTCTACTTTACGCGGAGAGGTAGCCGCTCTACGTGAGATGGTAGCATCGTTGTAGAATGAGATTCATACTCTACGCAACGAGGTAAGTTTAAGATTTTTCATATTTAACTTGATGATAAATTTACTCGTAATTTCACTTAGATTAACCATTTCACTTAGATTGCTTAATAAATTCATTCGGTTGCTGCCAATACTGCTAAACTGTTTTTGTTAGTATTTGTTTTTGGTTTTGCTTTTGTCTTTTGGTTGAAGTAATGCAATCCATTCAAGTTTCAATTTGCAGAAGAAGAATAGTTTACTTTCGCAACACGAAAATGACTATCGCAACGCGGAAATGGCTATCGCAATGCAAAATGAAAATCGCAACGACAAAATCGCAACGCGAAATGAAAATCGCAATGCGATTTGTGTTTCGCATTGCGATTTTGTCGTTGCGATTTTCATTTCGCATTGCGATAGCCATTTCCGCGTTGCGATAACCATTTCCGCGTTGCTATAGTCATTTTCGCGTTGCGAAAGTAAGTTTCGTGTTGCGAAAGTAAACTATTATTCTTCTAGAATGTTTATATATGTTGTCCTTTTAAATGTTTATATAAGTGCTTACTTCTGGAATGTTATCTGATGCATTTTGTGAACTATGATAGAATAATGACTTGGGTGAATACAATGCAAGTTTGAAACATATTTGTCTTTGTTTAATATCATGTCTGTTTATTTACTGATTTATGTATTAATTTTTTTTAGCGGCCCGATAAGGTGGATGCTTTACGTCGGGTTTTCCTTGCACGACGGAGTTCACGCATCAGACGGCGTGCACGTGCTATTACGTCTCCGTTCACCCCAATGGTGCGAAGACTCCGCAAGAAGAAGCCCGACTCACCTGTCATCCCTCAAGAGTCTCCTCCAATCGTTCAAGAGTCCCCTATCATCCCTCAAGAGTCCCCCCCACCGTTCAAGAGGCCACTGTCATCATTGAAGAGGTCCCTCCCACCATTCCAGAGCCCGATTCACATGGGGTAATATATCGAATTATTGAGAAACCCCCACCGTTGCCGGACATGATGGATGAGAGTTGGCTCTCGTATAAGTTACCGGCTAGTACCCTTCCGGTATCTGAAGTGGAGAGGAGACAACTACCGGAAACAATTCTGGATAATACCCTTTGGGCTAAGACTGCAGTTGATTTTTATCTACATGAGCGGAGCCAATGGTGTTACACTGACATAAGCAAACTCAACGATGAGATGTATTTGTTGCTTAATCGGTCTTGGTGGGGTGTGTTATTAGGGGTTGAAGACAGTGGCTATTTCGATGGGGAGGTAAGTCTTATATTTGTCTTATATATAATTTTGATTAATTTTTTTTAAAATTAATGTAATTCACTAATATATGTCTTTTTTTTGTAAAACAACATATCGATGCGTGGGTGTCACGTCTTCTAATAATAAGGAAGTTTAGGAAAAATAAAAAAAATTCGCGATATACAATAATGCCGGTGGCTTTTCACGTAGTTCACTTGAAGAATCAATGAGATGAATCATTTTCGTTGGGCAATGGACAAGCTAAACTTTATCCTGCATGGTGGGAGGTCGATAAGGTTAGTGTTTATTTTTTAAATTTTTTAAAGGTGTTCATAAATAAGTGCGCAAATAAATGAATTATTACTTATGATTGCAGGTGTTTATCCATGTTTTGGAACGTCATCATTGGCTTCTCGTCCAACTTCAGCTCCCATCCCTGAAGATAATAGTATATGACAGCATGATAAATTACATATCACTGTCTAATTTGAGAGATATTATCAAGGGATGGAGCTCTCATTTGGCTAAATTCTTGGATGGGATTAATTATTGGACTCATTCTGGACACAAGAAGCCAAAGAAGTTCAATGTTACAATTGTCAGAGACGAGACCGCGCCACAACAATCGCCGGGAGCCAGAGGGGATTGTGGTCCTCTCGTATGCATGTGCTTGGTGCGTTTGACGACGGGAAGCACAGAGTTTCTACCTCCCACCGATAGAGATAGAGTTGCAGTAGGCTTGTGGTTTCGGCATTATATGGCTAGAGCGATATATTCGAGATGCTGCCTACCTGCATCCGCGTTATGAAAGTATCCATTGTTAATTGGTAAGTCAAGTGCAAGTTTTGTTAACATATATGCTCCGTTTGGTTTGAAAATGTTTGGTTAAGTATCTAGAATTCAATAATTTGCTGTTTGTAGGTTTTAGATGTGTATGAAGTCTTGTTTGAGCAAATGTTTGGTTTCTGCAGGTTAATCCTTAAGTGAGCTGCGTGAAATGGATGTACGGGTGCAAAAGTTGATTCATTGATTCAATAATTGATGAGGAAATAATACTA